GAAATACGGCCGAAAGGCCCTGCCAGCCAAGCTAGTCCTGCTCACCTGGAGTGGGAACCTCCACGATGAAAGGAAACTGCCGGACAACTGGCTTAACAGCCCCGGGGTTTTAGTGGGTATACCGGACCCCCCATGACCGGGGCCGGGAGTCCCACACCGCGCCGATAACCGGCCAGTGCGCAATGCATTTCCCCGCGGTGGCAGACCGGCAGACCACTCTATGGGATCTTATCTCCCTACACAAACCCCAAATACACGACCATGTATTGCGAAAGCTACTGGGGTTCCACCAAAAAAAAAAAAAAAAAAAAAAAAAAAAACAAAGAACGCACCTTTCCTTTCAGTCGACAGACAAAACAACGCGAAGGCATGGAAGTGTTGTTTTTTCCTGGGGGGTTTGAGAGGTGCGAAACCCAAGCGACCCATCCTCTTAAGGTGTTCTACATATCTTCCCAGTGCCGATGACTCTCGATTCAAGAGGCCACTAGGTGCAATTCAAATTTTTGAATTGAGAGGTATCCCACGGCGTTAATAGACAAACCTGGCCCGAAACCATGCCTCATTTCAGAGTACGTGGACTGGCCGCTTGCATATCGAAGCCATCTGCCCTGAAACCCGATTGGATGCCAAATGTCGACTGGGAGGGCGCGCATTAGTAACCTGCAGCCTGGCCTGTAGCGTAACGGATCCTCGGCTCTGGGCGACTCCTCAAGCACAGTGAACCGGGAGTTTTTGTGATCCAATAAACTACGGGACGATGATCCCCAGCACGTCAATTGAAGCAACCAGCATGTGGGTGCCGCGCTCACTTTACGGCCGTTGCTAAAAATGTCACTCTTAGCCAGTCAAACCAATCTACCGGTTCATCACTGTGGGAGAGAACGATTCCGTACATTCGCATAGCTTTCGCTCAATACAAACGTTGAGAACTGGGCTCCGCTCTCGCTTTTCCCAATCTCAGCTTCCCATCGAGCTCGTCAGTCTTCAGTCCCCGCCACGTTACCTTTTACAAATGGCTTGCTCACAACCCCAGGTTCAACACATGTAGGTGGCGTGCTTCCTTGGTACTGTTAGAGAGCTGTTGTGGAAACGTGGTTTCGCATAACCGGGAATATGACAATTATAAGTAGAGTGAGGTGCTGTGCTACTATGCAAAAACGGGTACCCTCTCGCGTTTCGACATCGGCTCCTGTAACCACGTTCCCCGACCGTAGTTGATCGGATGCCAGCTGGAGCTTTAGAGTGCTGTGTACCCTGGACTAGCCCCAAAGACCATTTGTTACCTTGGATGATGAGAATCTACGGGGGTTGGGGACTGGTGCACTGCGTTGGACACTGATTCCACGGGAGCGCCCACACTATCAGTATCTGGCGGTTGGGATGAACAGGGGCGTGCTTGAATTGGCCACAGAGATATCAAAGTGTAATACCGTGCGGCCATGTCAGAAGGCCGCTAACGGACGGGCGCTTACCTGTGTATGTAAGTCTCGCAAGCCAGCCTCTTGAGATGTCTGGACGGCAAGCGATGATATGTAGATTTCGTATGGGTCGCAAGGTAAAGAGCGTACCAGAGCCTGAGCGCTGCGCGCAAGCGCAGCGCACGCGCGGGGATGAAATAAGTACATCATTCAACAGGCTCAACTCATAAGGCGCTCGTATAGGATCAACGTGCAGCTCAGGATATCCACTAGGAGGTCGCGAGACTCGCATAAGTAGACGTCATGATCGGGTAGGCGGTGTACACGTAGGCGGCTAAGATAAGTTGATGCTGCGCGTCAACACCTATTATATATAGATCGCATTACCTAACGCTAGTGATCCTATGACAATTAGATAGAAGCCCCTCTCCGGCATATATTACATCCGTGTTCTAATCCATGAATCAAACTTTGTGGACCCGTCGCGATTCTGGATACTCTAGAATCTAGCGCCAGCCTTGTGACCGTATGCGATTCATGAGTTGGACAGACTTCTGAAGAGTTGTCAAGGTAAAGATAGGCAAGGAACTCGATACCAGTAACAATACAATAGAGGTGATAGGGCAGGCATTCGCCACCACGAGGTCTTAATGAAGGCTAACAGCCTGTTGAAGGCCACCCGTCACGGTTGGATCATGAAGTTGACTAATTAATTGAGAATCCCCCACGACAGACCAGGAAATTTAGCCAGGGAGGACTGCGCCCCTAGCGTCTTTCATGCCGAGCATGCTACTGTGAGACGAATAAGCACCGAGGCCGAATGGAGAACCGTTGTAGGCAGGACGAGTGGCGGGACCATGTGGAAACCATTTCAGCCCAATTAGGTCTTCGATTAACCAGAACTATAGGGTGGTGAATACAAAATGAATTATATTGTAACGGACCTCCATATTTCCGTTCGTTACCAAACAGATCCTTTTAATAATAATGTGGATTAAATAATGTGACGTACAAAATGATCTCGGGCTGCGAGTCGCCCGAAAGGGACGCTTCGAGCGGCGGGCCACGCCAACCGCCCGAACTTTTCCTGAGGCTAGCGGCAGGGATAGGACCAAGGACCCCATCAATAAAGCACAAAAACAATCCACTGATTTACCCTGGTCCCTTCTTGCTGCACGCCCAGGTACGGTTCCAACTCTGCACCTACCGCTCTGGGGTCTTTCGCCCGAATGTAGATGCTCCCTTCGCCGAAGATCTAAGATGGTGGAGGGTTCGGTAGTGGAGGCGTCAATGCCCCGTGCCAGCTAAGAATGGCCATGCTGTAAAACCCCAACTATGGCAACACACGCAGCGCGACCGTTAGCACATATGCAGTGCTCGGGTATCCGGAAGAAACGACAGACGTACTCTATGTGCGTCGTCATTTTAATATTGGCCCGGTCCTGTATGTTCTTGCTGTGAAACAAAAAGGAATCAATGTGAGGGGTGCCTCCTAATAATGGCAGCTGATTGAACGTGCCACTAGAGTAGAGCGATCTTCCGATCTACCATCATGTCTACTTGGTGTGGTATGTTCCGAGAATAGGCTGGTCACTTCCATATCAGTGTTCGGGAGAAAACTTAACCGCATCGCCAGAATAGGTTCGGGAAGGGACGATCACATTATTATCCCTTCGATCAAAGGCGCCACGGTCATACATTGGCAACTTGAAAACGATCTTATCCCCATGCTCTTCAGCTCACTGGATAGGCTGCTTTATAGCACCGGTTAAGATCTTGGACGCTAAACTAGCCTCTCAGTAATCTGAAATTGGACAGAATTCTAAAGGCAATTCAAGGACCGTACTCGTCACTAGGAACAATACTTTCTCAGCTTGTTGAATCAAGTTTTCCATGCAGCGAACAATGTCGGGAATTCCGCAATGATGCGGGTATGGAATGGTCGAGAACGGAATAACACCCATGCTTGCCATAAGCGCATCCTAAGCGTATCCACATAAAGCTACGCAGGTTGGACGCTCATTTAGACCGCGAGACTTATAACAGCGAGCCGAACCCACCGAATAGATCACTTGGGCTTTTGAATGCCGGAAGGCTGTTGCACTTTGCTTGATACCCCTAGAGAAATGATCGCTTCGACCCCCCCTTTCTGGTTGGTTGTTTCCTCCCTTCCAGCAATATATATGAACACGACTGGCTTCCAGGAAAGTCTGGATGTCGGGCTGTGTAACTGAAAAGGCGAGGTGGTTGTGCCATCGGAAATCGTCGAAGATGGGATGAGGATGATGGAGAGAGAAGGGAGCGGATAAACCGAAGTCGTCACTGTCGAGTGGCGTTCATTAGTCATGATGACCAAGCAACGTCATATTACGAAGTCATAGAGTCCTGCCGATGCCGAAATTGAATTGAATCTGGAATCGAGGGCGGCTTCGACCGACTTCTCCTTAATTATCGTTCATGTGGGCCACAGAGCAAGCTTGTGCTTCCATTTCGATCATCGGACTCCGAGCCGAGCTAGAAGAGAAACAATCAATGGCCCTCTTTCACTGCGGATTGCGTAAGCGCTTAAAAGATCCAATTTCAGACACTCGTAATGGTTTTCTCATTTACACGCTCGCTAGGTCACTTCTCTCCCATGTTACATTATATTTTCCCCCTGTAACACCTCCCTATCGTTCCCACATTCACTCCGAACCTAGGCTAGAAGAGAAGTAGTGAATCCGTCTGGCCACTTGGGTTCAGGTAACACGAGATGTATTGGAAACAAACGTACATGAACCGTGTCTCAACGGAACAAGCGAGAGGTCACCGACTCTACACATGACACGAGAAATGAAACACGAGTCGGAAGACCACCAGTACTATATACGCAATCACACACCACCGAGCAAAGCAGAAATTCTGAGCGTGAGGAATCAACTTGGTTTTTCGGTCCGGCTGATCCGCCACCGCCCATGCCAACTCAGAAAGGGACAAGGCGATATCCCAGCTTCCGAGCCAAGCCTCGAAGCCAATAGACAACATCCTCATTTGAGTTCGTCTTCATCCACCTATCCTGTAAACGATCAGGAGTTTCGAGCGCAGCAACGATCGGCACTGGTCCAACGATGCGAGAAGGGGTAGATCTGGAAGGCCCAGCATGATGGAATGGGTCCAACGACGTAGGGTTCGAGATCTGGGAACGGGAAGCCATTTCGGGATCAGGGTTGAATTGAGAGAAGGGAAGCATCATGTCGAACAGTGTAGGGTCAATCGAAGCGGGTCCTTCTCCCGAACCTTGGACAGGATGGAATAAGGTTTGGGTTTGGAGATCCGGCAATTCTTCATCGAGGTTGGGATCATGTGCGGATGACGTCATGGGAAACGCGTAGAGAGGCCCATTAACAGCTGGCGCGGCACCAATATAATTCGTTGGAAAGGCTGATAGCGAACCATCGGGCAAGCCGGTGGGCGTTTGGCTCTCCGGCATATGAGGCGCATGAACTGGAGTTGCCATCGGCACGGAAGCAGTAGGCTGGGTGGGGTTTCCTTCATAAGCTGCGCTCTGACCCGTTGAATCTTCAAGGATCGATTGCAGGTCTGAAAGAAGCCGGCGAGACTTTGGAAGATGTGCTACATACGGAGACAAAGAAGTACGATCACGGTGTCCGACGAGGTTTGGAAGCATCAGACATACCGATCCATGCACGCCCAGGCTCAGCCATCCTTTGAGCCTCACGCAAACACTCCCGGGCTCTAGCCGATCTCTATAATTTGTTCCTTTCATCAAGAGAGTATCAGCGCGGTGGGGAAAGACATACCCTGACCTCACTGGAAATCGTCATCGAGCAGGCAAGGCATTCAATCCGCATCCTGCTACATAGACCGCAAGATTGGGAATTTAGGGAATCGACGCATCCCTTAAACCGAGGTGAGTAACTGCACGGTGGAAGAGGGGATGTTCAACTATGTCACACTATGTCACAAGAATGTGACTCTGGAAGACTCATGGATGCAATGAGGCGAGTCCATGTGACATGGAGAGACAGTGCCCAAGTTTGAGAATCGGGTATTGGAATCTGGAGGGACACACCTTTCCTTTCAGTCGACAGAAAAAACAATGTGATGGCATCAAGGCAAAAATGACGGGGGTGAGTGGTGAGCGATGGGAGATGGGGGGAATGTACCTTGCAGGCTTTAAATCTACAATGAAGTCAGGTTGAAGAAGGCCGTTGAATGTATTCATGAATGTATTCGCCCTACTTGCCCCCATCATCCGGGTGGGGGAATATATATATAATCAATCTACCCAATGAATCTCTACCCAATGAATCTCTACCCAATATATACTTAATACTTAATACTTATACTTAATATACTTAAGTGAGGTTGAATGTATTGTTTCACAGTTAATTATATAAGCTTTTCCCGCGCTCAAGCCTGTTGGTGGCATCTTGCCATTGCGCTGGATAAACTGTGGTGAGACAATAATAACGAATGGAGAGGACGTTGGCAAGAACCCATTGCAAAAAACTTCATGCGAAACGGTTGAAAACTGAGAGAGATATGGGGTGTGGCCCATGCCAGCGCGTGTTTTGAGTGTGGGAAAAGTGTCCACGGCCTCATACAAGCTGTTTGATGACTAAGGTTAATGATACGGTATAGAGAGGCTGTTTGGACGAGCTCATTAAAAAAAACTTGACGAAAAACGAACAAGATTTGACAGAGATACGAATGTACATGTGTTTTTGTGTGAAAAAATGTGAAAAAACATCCCACCGCCTCATACACCCTCATTCGCGATGTGCGTCAATAATATAAAAGGAAAAGGGCGTTAATACAAGCATGTACAAAAGGGAACGACGAAAAACGAATGATAATTGACCGAGATACGAATCTACATGCTTTTTTTGTGGAAAAATGTAAAAACATGTCCTACCGCCTCATACACGCTCATTCGCGGCTTGCACCAATAATAGGAAATGACCAGGGAGATAGTCCGAGCCCATCAAAAGAAACCCGACGAAAAACAAATGGGAATTGACAGAGATACTAATGTACATGGTTTATTTGTGGAAAAATCGTGCTACTTCCTCATACACGCCGATTCACGACTTGCACTAACAATACCAAATGTAGAGAAGGTTAATCCGGGCCCATTAAAAAAGAACCGACGGAAAACGGTCAAGAACTGAGGGAGATACCAATCCAGTGTCAGCTCCGCGGCTGATCTGTGCGTGGGAAACGGTCCCCAGCACCCTACAGATGTTTTAAAAATATGAAAAAATACCAGGTACCTGCGTTAATACTATATAAAATGGTTCGCAAAATTTTAGGACATTCGGGCCAGTATCAAGCGAGATATAATAAATTATGTGATTAATTTCCACTTGGCACCCTCAAAATCGCATAATATCGAGTTGAGGTAATAATACAAATTGTAGAGGACATTAACACGCGCCCGTTAAAAAGAACCCGAAGAGAAACGAATAAGAACTGACAGAGATACAAATGTAGTGTCTGCTCTGCGCGTGGTCTGTGCGTGGGAAACGTCTTCCAGTGCCTCACGGCATGTTAAAAAAATATACAAAAATGTCAAAACTTGCGTTGATAATATATAAATTAGTACGCAAATTTATAAAACATTTGGTAAGGTATTAAGCGAGATATAAGAATAATACCATACAGTTTTGTGTGGGAAATAAGAAAATCGCCATAGTCTCCTCGGGATCGCCGAACGACGAGTCGGACTAATAGTACAACATGTAGAGGACATCAAGACGCGCCCATTGAAAAAAACCCGACGAGAAACGGATGAGAACTGACAGAGATATGATAGGTTTATGTGAAAAATCACGTGTATATGTTTAGTTTGAGGAAATTCACGTGAGTAATTGAGTGTAACCTCCCACAACTTTGTTGGCGCACAGACATAAGCGAAAAAGTACTAATACCCCCACTCAAAACCGGTTTACACCCCCTCATGGGAGCAATTCTTTTTTGTTCCCATGTGACTTTGGCATGTAAAATAGATAAAATAGATAGATAAATAGGTCATAATAGTCGTAAATAATAATAATAATAATAATAATAATAGTAATAAATAGTGAATAAATAAATAATTATAGTAGTAGTATTTTTGTTGTATAAGTTATTGTTTTTTGTCGAAAAATTGGCATGTACAATAAATGGTAGTATTGTTTTTTTTTTTTTTGTATTTTCGCTATTAGCATGTAAAATAGATAAATAAATAGGAAGTAAGTTGAAATCCGGAGTTTCCAACAACAGAACCAAATGAACTAAGGTTCCAGATAAGGTAAAAATTCGAAAAAATTCACGGCAATGTGGGACAACATGAAATAGAAACATCCAAAACAAGGTATCCTATATAGAATAAAATCTGAAAAAATTGCGGCAATGGGGGAAAGCCAAGAAAAATAATACCAAGGTATTCTATGCAAATTAAAATCCAGAAAATTCATGGCAACATGGGACAGTATAGAATAAAAAGATAGAAAAATAAAAGTAAGGTGCTCTCTATAAAATAAAATCAAAAAAATTCACGGCAACATGGGGAACACTGTTTTATAAACTTACAAGGAATTTCATGTGATGGGGAGTGGTTGGGGTGGTGGGTTTGGAGAAATGGCCAGAAAATGAAGAAAAACAATGCAGGGGCCTCACTCCCAGTGGATTGGGGAAGGTGTTTCTCATCCCTGTGCATGACTAATGGAGCGGGGTTTGGGGTGCAGCCCAAGGCTCTCCGCAGGAGTGGGGTTTGGGGCAAGACCCCAATGGCCCTCCACAGGAGCAGGGGTTCAAGGGGCTGGCCCCTTGGTGTAAAACATAATCAAATATGTCCAGGGGGGTTTGGGGCACAGCCCCAGGCTCTCCGCAGGAGTGGGGCTTGGGGCAACGCCCCAATAGCTCTCTGCAGGAGCAGGGGTTCAAGGGGCTGGTGTCAGGGCACACCCGCCTGACCCGGCTCCACCCGGCCCAACCTGACCCGGTACCCCGCCAGTCCACCTGAAAGGTTGTCTTACTAGTTTGGGGACGGTAATGTTCCGTTCCCCCGTTCGCCTCAGGCCTCAGTAATCCGTCTAAGTATACGCTTGATTTGGCTGTATATTGACGGGGTAGAAGTAAAGGCTAATCTGCCTTTTACAGCTACCCCGAGGGTTTATATACAATCTTATACATTCTCGGCACAAATAAATAGAGAAGCTTCCGTGACGCTAAATTAGCGTCGCGACATAATTATTACACAACACAACATCAACTGATGTTGTGGGCGGAATATAGACATGGGCCGGGGCCTCACATCCTCCTCCCTTGCGATACTAGATCGCAGACAGGGTACTAGCATATATACACAAGGGGAAAGCAAGCATTTTTAAAGAAATAAAAAAAAAAACGTTCTACATACGAAGAATGTATGCAAACGGGGGCACACTCATTGCAGGAGGCTATAATAGTATTTTGTAGGCGAAGCCCACTTAGAGTTTCTCCTGGAACATATGCACCCAGATCTCGACGACAGTGTTGTCGACGATGGAACGACTTTCTCGTCGTTGTGAGTTTATTAAATACCATCGTCCACCGTGACGATGTTGACAGTGTAGGTCGTCGACGGCAGAGTTGTCGCCGACGAGAAAATGAATAATCAACGACGATTGCGTTGACGAAGGACGAAGGGTACAGAATAGACAATCAACGACAGCATTGTCGTTGACGAAGGTAAGAGATTATTGATCAACGACGGCCTTGTCGTTGACGAAAGTGGGTAATCAACGACGGCATTGTCGTTGACGAAGGTATGGATGAGGGGGGGGTCAGTTCCTCATTCGTTTACGCGGCGCTGACCTGGACGGGCCAGAGCCGGATGGGCGATTCGACGTAGTCCTACGAGTCGTCGTGGACCTAGCCGCGTCGACAGCGACATCGTCACTCAGATAGTTGTCGTCGTAGTGACGAGTCTCGACATCAGCGTCGTTCATGGACGAATCCTCGTCTTGACGACGGTGCGAATAATGGACATGGTGCGCGGGATGGCCACGTCCATGAGAAGAGGGAGCACGCCCTCGCACTGGTGGTGCGTGGGCGGATTCGTACACCGACGAGTGTGCATACGTCGGAGGGGGGTATTGCGGCGGAGGTGGGGCGTTTGAATACGCCACAGGGTGTGGGCTCGCGTACATCATAGGTGGGTTTGAGTACGATGTTGGGGGAGGGTTCGAGTACATAAGTGCTCGTTCCTGGCGTTGAATTTTACGACGCTCACGAGCGTCGTCAGTCATTGGTTTTATCCATCGACACGCGAGGATGTACATCCGTGCAATACGAGCCGGGGGGTACTGGTCGGGAAGTCTTTTCGCCTCCGTCTCAATGTCGTCGCGCGACATACGCATTTGTGAGGCGCGGTTGTTTGTAGCCACCCTGTACCAATCGGTACAGGTGTCGACGTCCTCTTGCGAGGGCTTGCCCGTCTTGAACGACCAGGCAAGATGGTACATTGTAGCATAGAACCTCACACCCTCTTCGGTGTGTATGTAGTTACGAACCAACTCGAACCACTTAGGTTCTTTGTCGCGGACGAGCGCAGCCGCGTCTGGGAATTCGATTCTATCGACATGGTCGATGTCGTAGAAGCGGGTAGGAAGGGCCACCGATCGACAATATGTCGGTGGGGGTAGGGGTTCGCCATGCACTTCAGTGAGTTTGGCGTCGTAGTACTTGTAGTAATGGTAGCCGGGTGGACGGTTCGCGACGAATTCTTCGAACGGGGCATCAGGGTCGACGACCCATTCGCCTTCCATCTCGTCATCGTTGGACGTGGGGGCCCATCTCTTGGAAGAGGTGGTTTTTTTCGACGGCGCAGACTTGGCCGACGCAGGATCCACCGGGCCAACCCCGGGGATAACGATGGTTTGGGGAACA